GAGCCGCTCCCCCCCGACACAATGCGAGAACAAGCGCCGGCGCTGGCAGGGAGCAGGGCCCGGCTGGCAGGATCGGAGCCTCCCCGGGGGTCCGAGCTGACCCGAGCCCGGGAGAGGGACCGTCTGTCCAGGCAGCTCCGAAACAAGCGCCCGCCACAAGGAGGAAGTGGGGTGGGCTGGAGAAAATAAAGAGCGCAGCGTGAGATCTGAATCCCCCGTGGCCGGTTAGCGTCGGTGGGAACCAAGCTGTGGCTGAAGCCTTATTTCCACCCATCCCGCTCCTCTTCTTTCCTGCCCGGATCGGGCTGCCACCCGTAGCCGCGCTCTTCAGCCTGACTTAAGCCCCACAGGAGGTGGGGAAGGAAATCTTTGCTCCTTAATGCCCTAAACAAATTGAGTTAATTTGCCAAATCCTTTGGGCGCGGTCCACCCCTGTCCCCGAGCGCGGGCGAGTCCCTGCCGAGGAGGAGAGAAGCCCCGGACCTTACACACACACACACCCAGGGCGAGCACTTAAAGCGAGTTCCCCAGACTTCCCGCTCCTCCTCCGGGAAAGAAGTCCAGGTCTACATGCAGGCAGGACTGGGTAAATTATGGAAATCTTTTTTAATTCTTTGGGCGTAGAAACATCAAAGGAATATCGTTAGCCTTTTTTTAAAAAAATCTCTGCCACGGCTTTTGGTTTTTTACCGACTGAAATGTGCACTTCGTGTCCCAACGAGAACCTGGAAGGGGGAGCGGGGCAGGAGGGTGGGAAGAACGGGTATTAACTCCGAGATGGGAGAAGAGGCTTTCTTTCAAATGCGTCCTCGGAAAATATTAATAATCAAGTTAATGTCTGTAATCTTCCCCACTGGCCCGGTAAAAGCGGGCTGAGGGCGATCGCGTTCAAACGTCTGCTTCTGCATTACACCTTTGTCTAACTGCAAGACCTTCTTCTGACGACCTCTGCTCCTTTGATCTAATTGCGCTGCGTGTTGCATACGGACAAAGAGTTGCGGATTCCTCCTGTGCTAAACCAGGAGGTAAAAAACCACCGAGAATCGTGCCCTGTCATAGCCGAGACGAAGGCAGCAGGTCCCCGCTGCAGAGATGCTCAGGCTACGTGCTTTTTTGCGCATTACAGGTTCCCAGAATTATAATTTCCGTCGTGTCAGTGGAAAGGCACCCCGACATACTTTTCCGAATTGGTTTGATACCTTTACGCGGTTACACAATGCAAACGGTTTTCCCCTTCCCTTCAGAAACAAGAGTCCCCTTCCCCTTCCTTACAATCGCTCCAGATTTTCCCGACTCCAGCTGAGAACGGCTCTTTATCCAGTTAACATTCCCTAGGCTGATGCCTGAAGTATCTAAGATCACTTTCAAATGCCCTTTCTAACAAGACCTGAGCAAGAGGCCACTAATTTTCACTGAACAAAAAGCCACTGGAGAGAGATCCGTTTGTCAATATCAACTGGTCCAGCAATTTCCCATCTTCAGACACATCGGCCTATCTGAGCTGGCAGATGTTTAGACAAGATTTTATAAATTGTTCAATATCAGCCCATAATGAACCCCAACTGACCATTCCAAAGCAGCTAAAAGCATCCAGGATCTCCCCTGCTGGGATCTAATAATGCTCTCACCCTGGAACATTATTAATCATGGAATAAAATAGATGAGCCTCTTGAAAAATAAGTGTATGATTGATTAAAGGGCAATCTAAGAAGCTATTATTCTTGTTTTATAACCGTAAGTTATATTCACTCAATTTATCTTTTGGGGAAAATAAATGATTGTTCGGGTTTTTTCTAAAATTATATTATATGAGGATTCTCATTATTTTACAGAAAATGAAAATGATGGGTTAGCTGTTTTTACGAGCCTAATCGAGGTGGATCTCTTAAGCGACTAGCAGATTATACAGGGGGTTTAAGCGACTCAGGGGAGGGGAAAAAGCATAAAAATTAAGGGCTGGGGTGTTTCCCCCTCTCCCACAGCATTGCTGGACATACTTAGAAACAAATGATTGCTTCACATATAGAAAATTAAGGTGGGATATGCTGATTTTTTTTCTAGAAAAGAGAAATAAGAGCACTGAAAAATGCTAGCACCAAAAAAACCCCCGATAAATAGCCCCAGCATGTAAGAAATGTGCATGGATCCACATATGCACATGCACAACCACACATGTACACACACGCATGTGTGTGTACTAGTACTAATGCAACAGAACAACTCTGTAGGGGTTTACTTATGCGAAGTCTATCTTTTCAGGTTATTTAAATTGCTCATTTCTTTTACATTCAAAATATTCAGTGAAATTACAACTTGGTACATGTTATGATTTTTTCTAAATCATATATTACTATTTTAGGGGGAAATAAATGAAAAACACCGTGCTGTTGCAGACTAGTCTGTTTTTATTTACAATTAAAGATATAAATTAGTAAAGAATTCTCGTTAAACAACCAAAGATTGTATAACCATCAACGTTTCAAATAAAAACCAAGCAAAATTTATTTACAAAAAGTTCAGATTCCATTGCAATACAACTTGCATAAATTACTAGAAGCTTTTATATCATTACAAAAATAAATATCAAATTTGTTTCCACTTTGTAAGTACTCAAGTTCTCCAATCACATCTTTATTATCTCTACTGTATACATCTTTTACAAATAAATTTTACAATAAATCCTATCACACCTATAGAATATATACCGTGGCAATGAAGTGATCAATTCAAGATATCCTGAGAAAAACAGATCTGTTTTCAAAAGTCACACATACATTTTGGAAACTATACTATACCAGCAAACTCACATATGTCCAACAAAATTCTCTTTTAATAATTAGAGTCTGTAGATTTAATAGTGCTCTGTGGTCTTCTTTTATACAGTGGCACAAGATGTGATCCGGATTTAGAGATTTATTATATATATTAGCTTGGGGAGAGATGATGGCTTGCTGACTTTTTTCAAAGCAATTGTGACACCTACCTGTGGACCAAGGAAAAAACCAGATCATCTAAAATCCTTCAGTTATACACTAATATCGTCTTCTTTTTTTAAGAAAAAGAAAAAAAAAGGAGATGAACTAAAATGCTTACTCTTCTATTTTCTGCTCGGAAAAAAATACTACTTTTAAAAGATCGACAACATTTTGCTTGGCCTTAAACAGAGAATGGGGGTAGAAGGAGGAGGGGCGTTGTTACTGGGCAAAAGACAATTCATGCCCAGCTGGAAATGCACGCTGGAAATTAGCATTGTCCTTGCTTGTTTAAAATTTGTAATCACCGTGTGAAACTCGGTCCATAATGTACCATTCTGATGATATTATCTTCACCCAACTACCTTACTGTTTGAAAGAGTGATTTATTGAGAAATAAATAGATTGAAAGCATATCTCCATAAAATTTAAATCGTCGGCAATGTATTGTTTTAATAAACCGGGGCACATAAAAGCGATAGGAATCCTCTACAATGGCCAACAAAAGAGCACAGACTCAGGAAAGAAAAGCCATAATCAGGGGGGTTTAAAAAAAAGACCAGAAAAAGAGCATATTACTATGTAATCAGACTCTTATGTAATGAAGCAAGAAATTAATGTTAAGCAAGTTTACAGCTGTGCAATATGTCTTGGACTTGATGCCAAATGATCAGTGTAATAGAAAATGTTCTCACTTACTTGCATTGCTGTGTGATTGCACTTCTATAGGTATGGTTGTGCTCCTACTGTGCAGACTTCAGTGGGATCTGTCAAAATAGAACCGTCAGTTAGTCACAGGACACAGCTAGCTAACTAGATTATACACTCCGGGTACGTCCCAGCTCTCACTTGCACAAAATTCAGAGCTGCGCCATTTGAAAACCTCTGCCTTTCGCTTCCCGAATTGGATAATGGTGGTGGCTGAGCTCCTGAGGCACTTCCAGCACTAGACAATTTTATTAATTTACTGTCCTCATTTTAAGCCCTTCTGAAAATAGTGGTAATAACAATAAAGTAGAGTTTAAGGTTTTACACTTAATTTGCAAACCTATTCCTTCACTGTGGGAAAGGATGCAACTCCTTAAAATCAAAAGGAAAGAAAGCACGTCCTATTTCACTAAACGCAGCAGACCAAATGGAAAGATAAACAGGGTTTTAAATAATGTACATACATTAGTTGAATTTATCGAGGCTGGGGCTTGGGGGTTGTTTTTTTTCCCCCGGCTACATCTGTGTAATCCATTAGATGTCTCTCTTTTTAAAACAAAAAACAAAAACCCTCCTCCGATACATCTCCTGTCCTCCTTACTGCATGCAAATATCGGCTTGGGGGTTAAATAGTTTCTGAAAGCCCACATCTTATTCCTGTCCAGCTTCAATATTGGGCTCATCGCTGTGAGGACCGCCGGCAGAGTTGTCTGTCCTTGGAGGTGGTGCTATTGATCGTCCAAACAAGCACAGTGCATCTAAACTCGCCTACAGGAGTGATTTTGCCTTTAGGAAAAAAAGGAA